GTATTGGTGCCATTTGAGTAATTTAGAGGTTTGGTCCATTCATAAACCACTTAGAGTCCAGAATATGATAGTGCTTAGGAGTGGTAGTATAATTTGCAGAAGAGCAGCTGGAGTAGTGGAATATTGTAGTAGACAACACATGGTTATGAGTGCTAATTGTCTGACTGATGGTGAACTGAGACTCACGTCTGCTAAAATATTTTAATATTTTGGTGTGCAGTGCTGCTCACTGGTGGGGTGCATGTTGAAGGCCCTAGGTTTGAACACCAGTGCAGGAGGTAAGGGAGTTTATGTTAGTGACATTTTCAACTTGATCTTTTCATAAATGTCCTCAAACAACGCATTGGGCATATTGGCCTATTAAAAGAGAGAGACTGGTTACATATACTACACATATACTACATATACTACACATCATCTCTATATCATATATGAAAAAGTGAAACATGCCTCCATCAATGCTGACGCATGCATGGGCAGCCTGTTTTTTTATTGGACTTCATGGTCTTGAGTTGATAGGATGACTGACCAGTTCGCTTCCTCAAGGAACAGGTCCCACCAAGACACGAACTTGGATCACTGTATTCAAAGTCCAGAGCGTTAACCATTATACCACAGGAACTAGTACTGTATCTCTTATATGTGCTTATAATTGGCATTCCATGCTTAAAAGGAAAAATAAGAGTGAAGAATGTCTTGGGCAATAAAAATAACTATTCACATTAAACACATACAATGATGTTATCAAACACATTTTTATTTGATATTTCTAGCATCCCAGGATGTAAGTTGTTTATATGTGTGGGAGTTCAAAGAATTCAAAGTCATGTTAATGCCAGTGGAGCAAAACTCTGCTCTGTGCACACTTTGTTCTTCCTTCTCCCTCTCCTCTTTTTGAAGCAGGAACTTGTGTAATGGAGATTGGCTTGTAAGGGAGGTGTGGCTGAGGATGACCTTGAGCTCCTGACCCTTCTGCCTCCACTTTGAGAATTTTTTCACGCTATGATTCATACTAACAAAGCCTGGTCGCCTGTTTTATTTATGTTTTTTATTTTGCTGGGATTAAGCCCTGGGCCTCAAGCATACCAGACTCTGCCACTCAGCTACATCTTTATCCACCTATTGTAATTTTAAAAAATAATCCAATATTATCAACATTTGCCTATGTCATTAAAAATTCTTTGCAAATTAGACTTTTAATAGATTTTAAATATTTAAAAATATTTTGATATTTTAAAATGTTTTGTTTTGGCCATTTAGACGCTATTAGATCATAGTTTGTTTTGGGCTTTTTTGGTTATTTTCTATAGTAGTAGTAGGAAGGTAATTGCCTTCATAAATCTTTGTAGTTTTAATTTTTAGAGTAAATACCTTTGGTTATGTACTTTCTGGAAAGGTCTTGGTTTTAATTTCTACCAGCAGGGTAAGAATGTACTTTTTTTCTTTTCTTTTCTTTTCTTTTTTTTTCTTACTTCTCTTAAGATTTCTTAACAGACATGTACATCCCACCTTTCAAAAGTATAGTATTGCTCTTGTGTAGCAATAGAGTGCAGTGGTTTTAGCTGTCTCGGAAGCACACTCTTAAAGTCCTGGAGTCCCTCCAACAGTGGCCACCATCTGTCACTCTGCCTCGCCTTGTGCTTGGACTTGATGTATATAGATTTACACAGTCCTACCTGCTTCCATTCCTTTCTTGGCCCTCCTTTCCTCCTGTGGTAGTTAGTAGAGATTTTCACCTTGGTAGGAGCTATAGTCCTCCGGAGACCTGACTGTCCACGGGCATTTCTGAGGGATCTAGATTAGGTTAACTGAAGTGGAAGACCCACCTGCTCTGCTCCCAAGTTCTGGGAGTAAAGGTGTGCATGCACTACCTTGTGAGCTAAGTGGTCCCCCCCTTTTTTTTTTTCTGTCAAAATAAGCCCCTTGAGTTGCTTTGTTAGGTGTTTTGCCACTGCCACACCTGGACCAGTTGCTAATACACCTCCCCTTTTCTTTGTGAGGATTTTGTTTGTGCTCTGATTCTTCCCTTTGCCAACCAGGATCACCTTGGGTCCTCAGAAGTCAAGTCAGGATTTACCTCAAGGAGGCCCTGTTACTTTTCTCCCTGTTTGAGTCATGGATGCAGTGATGCCAGTTTATCTCAGGTCGTTCTTTAGCAGATCACGGCCATGCTTATTCTCAGTTTCTGTCACATTCTCTAAACAAATGAATTAAGTTGTATTTGTTTGTAGTTTGTCATGCTCAGGAAGAACAGGTGTGTGAGTTAGACAGGCTCTCAAGGTAGAAGCCCCTTTGTAAAGATGGCTGTCTTGATTGACTCATGTTAGAGTGGAAATTGCGTGATAGCACTAAATGATTGTATCCACGCTTTTCCTCTGTGCTGCCCCTCTCACCACTCCAGACTGTCAGTGTGGTTGTGTGTTTCTCTCTATAGATGCCTTTTTTTTTTTTTAAAACAGTTGAGTGTCTTTCAGTGTTGGAGTGTAGGGTGCTTTGTTCTACCTGTGGACATTTGGGTGTATTATATGTCAGACTGCTTGGGCATTCTTTGACAAGGCCTTGTGGATTTGCTTTTCTTCTTGCCACTGTTAGGCTTTGGAACCTCTCTCAGATGCTCTAGTGGGCTGGGAGGTGTGGCCAGAGCCTGCACAGGCTGATGAGGGAGGTGTCAGTGTTCTGAAGGCTAAAACTTAGTTCTAGGCCCCTAGATTACTTTAAGGAGGACTGAAAAATGTTGTCTAGCTGAATGCCTGAGAAAGAGAAGTCTGCTTTTGGCTGAGACCTAGAACTCATTCTTGTAAAATCTGCAGATACAAGTTTGTTTGGTGCAAATTGTAGCTCATTTAGGGAATGGACAGTGTGTCTGTCCTTCCTTGCCTTAGGTAGAACCTCTTATTTGCCTTTGTATCCTCTTAGAAGGCTTTGTCTTCATTAGTTCTAACTAATCCCTGTGGTCGTGGTGCCCCCCTCTTTCCATTATTGAGGTGATCTGTCTGGCCCAGCCTAACCTTGAACTCAATTTTTATCTAGTCTGGCTTTGAACTGCTGATCGAATGAATTGTGCCTCAGCCTGGGATTACAAACATACAATTTCATGCTGGCTTTCCATTTCTGTTTTAGCACATCACCTAGCTTTATATTTGAGCAAAACCAGGACTTAAGGAATCTTCTATCTAAGCCCTCCCCATCCCTACTTCTGACATGTCATTTAATCCATTCTTAATTCCTTGGCTCCAGACTGCAAGACAGTGTTCTCTTTGCTCTGACTTCCTTTCTCAACTTTTTGGAAACCTTGTATCTACAGTTGCCTCAGATTTTCGCTCTCTGTCTGCACTGGTGTTGTTCCTGTGCCATACAAGCATCTGGGGATTGAGATTTTTCTTCCCTTCACTGAAGTCAAGCTGGGTCCTCCATGCTGTTGAATTCCTCTGTGCAGTCCAGATCTCTTGAGGTCGATTTCTGGGGTGGACTTTTCCAGACAGCTCACTGTGCTGCTGTGGGACTTCTGCTTCTTTTAGCAGTTGGCATTGCTCACTGTTTGTTACTATCTTGTTACTCCTTCTTGCCATCTTCTCTTGTGGACTTAAAACTCCTGAAGCCATCCCTCTTTTATTTTCTTCCATCTGGCCTAACTTGATGTTGATGAGACCCAGAGACACTGACCTCCAGTCCCCTCTGTCTGCTCTGTGACATGGTTGGCTCTGTATTTCTTGATTGTCAGATCTGCAGAGAACCTTGATTGAGCTTAAACCCTGGTACTGATACTCCAGTAGACTTCCTTTCCTCCTATAATGACACTTGCCATCAGTGTCTAAGCCAGGACTTGTAGTCAACCTTAGGTTACGGTCTCTTACCTTTTCCTGCCCTTTCTGGTTGTAACTTGCCTCATGCCTTTGTGTGTGTTAGGAGAACTTTTGTTGTGGGAAAGAAAAAGATTTATTTTAAATTATGTCTGTGTGTGAGTACGGTATATGTGTATGTGGGTGCCCATGGAAGCTAGAACCTTGGAACTGGTGTTTGAGACTTTTGTGAACTGTGTGACATGCTTGAGTGATGGGATCTGAACTCTGGTCCTCGTGAGAGAACAATAAGCTTTCCTAAGGCCAAGCCATCTCTCCAGCCCTTTGTCATTTCTTTCGTTTTTGTTTTTGTTTTCCAAGCCCAGGTTTCTCTGTGTAGCCCTTGAACTCAGAGATCCGCCTGCCTCTGCCTCTCAAGTGCTGGGATTAAAGGTGTGTGTCACCACTGTCCAGCCCCTTTATCGTTTCTTGTTCCATTCCTTGATTATAATGTTTGCATCTTTTTTCCATATAACACAGATTTATGTGTTTTTTTTTCTCCACCTTGGAGAAGGATTTTTTGGAACTTAGAATTCTGTTTAGAATTCTGTTAGAATCCAGGTTTCACTTAAATTTGAGATGGCTTCAAAGATAAGTCTTTATGAAGATAGTTTTGTATGAAAATCCTAAGATTGGTAACATTGAGGCGTCTAGGAAGTTAGCACTCTAATGGCTCCACTGTCAGTTCATATGGAGATGCTCAGAGGGTCCTTTGGCAGCACAACTGCAAAGGGCATTTATGAGCAGTGGTCTCAGCCCCGCTTTCTTTAGACTTGCCTGTTAGGACTTCTTTGTTCTTCTGTGGTTCCAGTTGTACCCCCTTGTTACAATGCTATGTGAGATTAATAGTAACAATGTGTCCACAGCCATTTCTCAGCAGCAGCTTCCTTGTACCGAAGTTCAGATTCCACTTTCTTCATGGATCTGAAAACATGATTGACATGTCAATTAGTTGAGATGGGTGGACATTTAGAACCACTTACTGGGGCTTGATCTTGACTCAAGAAGTGCCATTAACTTGAATATTCATCTAAGAGTCTGAAGACTGGCAGTGATTCTGAGCAATACAGCTGAATTCTTAGTTTCCTAGGTTGGAGAATTTAATCTACACCAGTATTTGCTTCCAGAATTATTAAAAAAATGTGTTTTTTTGGTTTACAGGTCACTTCTCGTGGTCCATTTCTGGGCACCATGGGCTCCACAGTGTGTACAGATGAACGATGTCATGACTGAGTTAGCTAAAGAACACCCTCATGTTTCATTTGTGAAGGTACTATATATTTTCAGTCTTTTTTTCATTCATTTCTGACTTAATGAGGTAGACTAGATTTTATAATATAATGGAACAAACTGTGAAATTCCAAATACTTGAATTTTGTATTGAATTCTGTTCTGTTTGTACTAAGTTATTCTGACAGGTCATTAAAAATGTTGCATTTCTTATAAAATAAAAAAAAATCCTTACAGAATGGGCAAAGGACAGAAATGTTTGACAGCAAAAGCAGACCAGATAATTTACTGGATAATTTTGATTTGATAGTAGTTAATTAAGACTTCATTGAGAAAATATCTATGATGTGAGAAATGATCCTAGAAAGTATATCTATGCATAGGTTGCTGGGGTCATTGGGAAGATGCTGCTTTATCTGCCCCTCCTTTCTCTACCGAGCCCCTTGTTTTATTCAAGTCTTGGTTCCTACATTCCTGTTGTCTTGTGAGAAGGTGGACTCTGGCTGTACTAGAGGTTAGCAGACTTGCTTTACACCTGCAATCTTAGTTAATCAGGAGATAATATTGTTTAGGTTTAAAAAAATGAAATATATATTGAGAATAATAAATTATTGGGAAAGAAGGTATACTGTATATTCATAAGTCTTAATTCTTAGAGTTTATTTATTTACTTTTGAGACAGGGTCTCACAGCACAGACTGGCCTTAAGATCTTATTTTTCTTGCCGTCCAAGTGCTGGAATCAACACTTGTGCCTCTGTGCACCAATGCCGAATCCTTAGGATTTAAGACAAAACCCAAAACTGTGTTTTTAAAACTGTAAATTGTGAGTTCAGAAATACATATTGACAAATATACCTGTATATGAGGTTAGAAACTATATGAAGTGATGGGTATCTGTAGGTCGTAATTCCTTTGCTTGGTAGGCGATTAAATTTCCTGATAACATTTGTGTAGACAGCACCTGTGTGCCTTGTATTCTGATGACTCAAAGTGCCAAATGGTATAGCAAGGTAGACATTGAGAAGGCTCACTCCATTCTTACCTGCCAACCCTTTGTCCTTCCCCATAAGTAACCTGTTGTATTAATTTTGTATGAATTCTCTCAGTGTTTCTTTATGCAGATAGGGCAAATATGAATATAATAGTTAGCTTTTTAAAATTTAAGGACTTATTTAAAATTCTGATGAAATGCGTAATGTAACCTTAGAAGGTAACCCTAAAATGTCCAATATAAATAATGGAAGGGTACATTAAACCTGCATGTTTGGCCAGTGATAAAAGATAATGACTACAAGTGAAATGAATGATTAAACACTTCAATCATGGAATTAGTCAGGGTGATGGTAATTGCTCCATGTCTGCTTTCATACAGATAATGTTACTAGTTTAGGTAACACACTGTTCTCAACTGCCATCTGAATGATTTATTTAAAGTGACTATAGAATTGCTTCTCACATTGGTACCAGACTTGGCAGTGAGATTTTAAGTTGTTCATGTGCTTAAGTGTTGCAGCGAGCCAAGAGTTCGAGGTGTGTGGTACTGCTGGATTGTCAGGGACACTTGAGCCTGACAGCACCTGCTGTTTAATGGGATGGTAGCAGTACTCTCGTTAATTAGGACTTCTAGAAGTTTCTGGAGTAAGGCTAATAATAATGTCCTAGCCCATCAGTGTCTTTTTTTAATCTTTTGTAGCACAAATAATAAAAACCCAGATACAGAAATTGGGATTCAACCCGAAAACCAGAAAAACAAAACAACCAAGCCACTAGAGAAGTCTTACCTCTACCAAGGCTGGGCGACTACAAACTAACCACACTAAAGCCTCTCTCTTTTCCCATTTTATATTCCCTCTAATTCTGGGATTAAAGGAATGACTCCCTAGTACTGGGATTAAAGGTGTAAGCCACCACCACCTGGCTTTGTTTTTGTATTGAATTTGTGTGGTTCAAGGTAGCCTTGAACTCACAGAGATCCATCTGCCTGTCTCCCAAAACCTGGGATTAAAGATGTGTGTCACCATTGTCTGACCTCTAGAAGCTTTAGCTCTACCTCTGGTCTTCAGGCAAGATTTATTTATTAAAATACAAACAGTAATAACACTATAATCTTTTCTTTGTGTGTATTTGTTTTTGTTTTTTGAGACAGGGTTTCTATGTGTAGTCCTGGCTGTCCTGAAACTTGCTCTGTAGACCCAGGCTGGCTTAGATCCACAGGGATTAAAGGTGTGTGCCACCTCTGCCCAACTATCTTTTCTTTTTGAGTTGGAAGTTTCACTGTGTTGCCTAGGCTGGTCTCAAACTCTTGGACTCAAGCCAGTCTTCTGTATCAGCCTCTTATAGCTGGCACCTCAAGGATGTCTTACTATACCCACTTTTCATTTATTTGCTTTGTTTTTTGAATGTATTAGTTGGCATTTTTGACTTTGATTTGTGAAACAAAGTGATTGTTTCATTCTTTGGTGATAGATTCACAAAGTCTCTTAAATAAGTGATTTTTTTTTTAAATTAATTTTTTGGTTGGCATACAAAATAATTGAATTATTATTATTATTATTATTATTTTTGGTTTTTTGAGACAGGGTTTCTCTGTAGCTTGGAGCCTGTCCTGGAACTCGCTCTGTAGACCAGGCTGGCCTCAAACTCACAGAGATCTGCCTGTCTCTGCCTCCCGAGTGCTGGGATTAAAGGCGTGCGCCATCATCGCCCGGCAATATTATTATTCTGAAGCAGAGTCTTACGTATCCTAGGCTGGATTAGAGCTTACCATGTATCCATGGATGACTTTGAGAGTTTAGGAGTGATGGGATTGTAGTGGGTGCCATTGTGCTCTGGTTATATGGTGCTGGGGGTCAAACCAGGGCTTCCTACATGCCAGGCCAGCAGCACTCTATGAACTGAGCTACTCCCCTAACTTAGTAGGTGATCTTGATTAAGGTATTTAAGTGGATTGTAACTATCAAGATCTTAGCTTTCCAATTGTTAAGATACCAGTTCAGACAGATTAGCCACATGTTTCTAGTCAGTTGTGAAGCTTTGTTTCCACTGAAAGCTGAGAAGCAAGGCTTTCACATTCATTCTCTGTGAGTCCCTTGTTCCCTGACTTGTGATGTTATTGTAAGATGCACTGGTGTTACCTCACTCATGGGCTAGGTCCTTCCCTGTAGCAATTGCTGCCATAGCCAGTTGAATCCTGAAACTTGGGACCCTCTGTAGGCTCTCACATCTCTAAGTGCTTTGAGGAAATACATGAGCTAGTTCCATTGTTAAATACCTTACAAAAAGTTCAAGCTTATTCAGAATAGAGTGAAATAGCTAATTAGAATATTAAGTACTTTTGAAATACATAGTTGTTCTCTACCTAAAATGGAAGTTTGCTTTATTGATCTGTGTATGTGAATTGGGATGGGTGAGTAGACAGATGAATTCATAATCTTCTGCCTTAGCCTCCTGGGTGTTGAGTTTATAGGCTTGTGATACCATTCTAGTGGGAATACATATTTGTCAATTAATTATTTGGTAGACTCTTTCAGAATATGATATTTGGAAGGGGGAGAAAGTAGGAAAGAGGAAGAAGGTCCAAGACTTTGTCAATGATGAAAAGATTGTATGCTCTGAAAAAAATCAGATCCAGTTTGTAGGAAGTCTGTACTCCTCTCCTGCATTTCTCACTTGCCATGTGTCATAGTTGCATTTCCTATTGCTGTGATGAAATCCTCTGACAGAAACAACTTGAGAGAAAAGTTTATTTAGCTCATAATTCCAGGTCCATCGTAGCAGGGAAGTCAGCTTTAGAAGCTTGAGGCTGCTGCTCACTTTCACATTCAGAAATAGAACAAGAATGAGGCATACTTATGCATGGCTCTTATATAGCTCCAGATCCCCTGCCTATGGAATGATTCCACCCACATTGAGTGGGCCTTCCCGACTAAGTGTAAAGTTAAATTGGCTAGTTCCCTCTCAGTCATTCCCTGAGGCCAGTCTTTGAGGTGTTTCAACCTTGTCAAGCTGAGAGCTAGTTAAACTCTCTTAAGGATTAGAGTCAGCCGTTCAGGGAGTTTTATGATTATGATGTTGCTTTAGCCAGTGTTGTTTTATTGTATAGTGCAAAGATCCTCAACCTGTGGGTTGCAACCTCTCTGGGGGTTGAATGATCCTTTCACAGGGGTCGCCTAAGATCATCGGAAGGAAAACACAGATATTTACATTATGGTTCATAACAATAGCAAAGTTAGAGTTATGAAGTAGCAATGAAAATAATTTTATGATTGAGGGGTCACCAAAACATGAGGAACTATATTGAAGGGTTGCAACATTAGGAAGGTTAGAACCACTGGCTGCTGTGTTGAGAGTCAAGGGTATGGAGGAGTTACAAAAGTAAATTGCTGTGTTTTGTAGCTCTCCACCATCCTTTGTAATTTTGGGGCCTGTTCTCAGGACCTCACATTTATGTTAGACAAGTGCTCTGCTACTAAGTTACATTGAAGTTGTCGGAATCTTCAGGGATGGAGAGGTGTCTCAGCAATTAAGAGCAAGGGACCTGGTTTCAATTCCCAGCACCCACACTCCCAGCACCCACATGGTCACTCATAACTGCCTCTAACTCTAACTCTAGTTCCAGGGCATATGACCCCCTTCTCTAACCTCTGTGGGCACTAGGCATGTACATGTTGCTCATATGTGTGTGTGTGTGTGTGTGTGTGTGTGTGTATAGGCAAACACATATGATAAAAATATATAAACCTTAAATTAAAATTAGGTTCCTTAATGCCTGTTTTATTCCTGCTCTGAAATAGGCAAGTGTCTTAAAGACAGAGTTCGTGCTGCTTAGTTTCCAGATGCTTGTACAATTGCTCTGTATAAAGTGGTTGAGATGACAGTGCTAGTTATTGCCAGGAATAAATGAATTAGTGAACAAAATACCAGGCATTATCTAGCCTAGAGTAACTTTCAGCTGTGAGCCATTTCCATAGCACTGACCTGCTAAACATGGTGACACACACCTTTAATCCCAGCATTCAGGTAGATGCAGGTGGATCTCTGAGTTTGAGGCCATCCTGGTCTATATAGTAAGTTCTAGGCCAGCCAAGACTACCAGGGAACTCCTGTCTTACTCTCCTCCAAAAGAATGAGTACCCTCCATCTTCTCACTTCTCACCCCTTCTCCCAGGCACACCTTGGAAAGGCTCTGAAGAGCTTCTCCGGGATAGGGAGCAAGTGGTTCCCACCATAGGCATCATTGTGAAGATGCAGCGGTGTGTGTGTGTGTGTGTGTGTGTGTGTGTGTGTGTGTGTGTAAATCCAATCCCCAAAGTGCAGTCTTTCTTCTGGCTATAGTAGTAGAAAGCTACGTGTGGCATAATGACAAGCACAGATTTTATAGTTCAGCTTCATTTCTGAGCTGTATCATTTCTCTTCTGAACATAAGTCACACAAGTCACCTTTTACATTAGCCATGTTTGTCCAGAGCCAGCCAGTGGGATATGGAGCTACAGATAGGTAAGGAGAGTTGTTACAGGAATTGGCTCACCTCACCACAGAGCTTTAGAACCCCTTTTCGAGCTGAGAAGCAGGGGTGGTGCTGTGCAGTGTGTGCCAGAGGCTGAGAACTAGGGGACTGATGGTGTAAAGCTTGAGCTCCAGGGCCGGGAGGGAGCACAGAGGCTCAGTGACATGGGGTTCTTATCCCAGGGGGATGGGGGAGGTGGGTGTTCCAGTCTAAGACCTTTCCTTTATCATTCTTTGTTCTGGTGAACCCTTACCCTTTGGGTGATGCTCACACGTTTTGTTTGTTTTAGTCTGTCTCTCAGGTGAAACACCTTTATAGGCATGCCCAGAAATGATAGTTTGCTGGTTATCAGGTCTATTCATCTAGTTTGTAGAAGGGCTCATGGTATGGAGCTGACTGTTCATGAATGATAGCTTTGAGCTCCTGTACATGCAGGTCATTTAAAAATACTTTCTATTATCATTACTGAGACCACTATATTATATTAGAACCATATTTTCAAAGAATTTTGAGTGCTGCAAAGATTTCTTTCTGTGCTGCTGGGGGCTGTACCCAGGACTCCAGGCATGCTAGACAAATCCTGGGAACTTCTACCCCAGCTCTACAGAGGTGTTAGACCATCAGATGGTGCTAATGTTCTGGAGAACTGTTGTGGCTTTAGCAGACATCCTGTTCCCTTTTCTGTGTGTTTGTCTGTTCCCATGGCTTCTGGGAGGAAGAGCTAGTCTTCTGGAAGCTGGTTTGAGGGGAGGCACTTGTAGTGATCCTCAGGCAGGAATGGCAGCAGGGATCTGGTTAACTATTACATGTAGGCACGTGTTAGGGTGCTGTCTGTTCTGGTCGAGGAACATGTGCCCTCTTAATGTTGCTCAGGTGCACTGGAGGTAAGGTCTCTTTCTGAATGACTCTCAGTTGTCAGAGTTAAAGGAAAGAGTGAGCTGCTGGGTGACATTGTGAGCACACTTTTAGAAGGCCAGCTTTCACTGGCACCCGTGGTCTGAGTATGGAGCTGTGTCAAGAAAGAAAATAGCATGCACATTCCTAACTGCAGTCTGTTCTAAACGTGTCATGTCAGGCAGCTTTCTCTTTTTGTCCTTTTATCATAAGAAAGGACAGCCGTCGCTGGTTGAATATTTAAAACATTATCATTAAGTACATTTGAAAAATGGAAACAATTAAAAGCATATTGCAGAAGGCACTAAAAGCATCCTTATAAAGCCTGTGAAAAGGTGAGACAGGCAGCATGAGATCTTGCAGACTGGACAGTGCCTCCACAGGCCAGGCATCGCACAGGTAGCCTGACTGGGTACAGCAGAGGTAAAAATCACATTTCAAACCCAGTGGAAATCTTTCACTCTTGGAGAAATTCAGTATATTATTTTAAACACATTTAACAATATAATTTATCAATAAATTTTATTTCCTATAGGTATAATGTGAATACAGGTTTTTATTGGTTTCAAAAAGTTTATATTAAATTGACAGTCCTATGAGAGGAAAATATAATATATTTTGGTTTTTCTCAAAGTGTATTTATAAAGATCTACGTAAATAGCTTATAGTAATTGTGTTCTAATTATCTAGAAATTGTGTTTCTAAATCTTTTTGAAACCCATGTGCCAGATATCACCATACCTTGTTTGATGAGGAGCCCCAAGGAAATGATCAGAGCAGATACAGTCATCTTAGTCAAAATGAGTTCATATGTTTGAATAGACTGGAGAGCAAGCAGCCAAGCAGGCTGTTTGTTTAGTGTCCAGCAGCCATGCAGGGGTTAAAAGTAAAATTTATCAGACATCAATAGTTTATTGAAGAAATACTCCTTTTTGCTTCATAATTTGCAGAAAGCTGCAACTGTCAGTCATGATGTACTGCCTCTTGAAATTAGTCAATAGAGCAAACAGCAAGAATTGCTGTGGGCAGAAAATAAGCACTGTAATCATGACATAACTGGGGTCAGTGATTTATGGATTTCAATATAGTAGTAGCTGCATATGATTGAAAATTTACTAGGTCACTAGTGCACCAAAAATTTTATTCACAGCCTCCAGGCATCTTTTGAAATGTGCAACAAAATAAAAACCTCTGAACCTGTTTTGACACTGCAGACTCCGTGGATGACATGCCAGCCCAGTGAGTCTCATTTAAATGTAAATGTGTCATAAACTTTTGTCCTATAGTCTTAAAATGCCATGGACTTGAAAGGACAGTGCATGTGAAACTGATTTACATAGCAGAGTAGAGAAAGAACCAGTAATAATGAAGCTTGGATTCTTTTATTTTAAAGCTGGAAGCCGAAGCTGTTCCTGAAGTATCTGAAAAATATGAAATTAGTTCTGTCCCCACCTTCCTGTTCTTCAAGGTAAGGATGAGAGAGGCACCAGCAATGGTGCATCCGAGTGGCTCCTGGGACTCTTCTGTTTCTGGTCTCCTTGGTTACTCCTGGCCTTGTACATTTTTATGGTACTCTCTCTTTTTGCACTGATGAGGACCATGTTTGTTGCTTGCCATGGGCAGTGGGCAGCCCACAGCTAGAACGGAGCCTCCTGATCAGAATCTAGACTTCTCCTGTAGACGTAATACTCCCTGACCCAGGTTTGAAGTGGGTTATTGAGGGCATGTGCCTGGATGTGAGGAGACATCTGGCTGATTCTAGTTGATTAATGACTCCATGGGAAGCAAGTGCAGATCTTTGCTTCCGGGCACCGATGGGTATTACCACAGCTCTCCAAAACTTCATTTGTGGTCAGTAGGTCCTTTCAAGCTGGTCTTACTTTCAGATGTCAGTGCGTACCCAATATGTTCCAAAATAAGTGTTTCTAAGTGAGAAGCAGTACAAGCAATTGCTAATCAGACTCTCTCACTTCACTAATAAAAGGGGATTACCTTTAAAGATTGGCTAGAGCTATGTATTTTTTTTTTCTGTAAGTTTGGAGTCTAAAATATAGATAAGGGTGAAGGAATGCCACTTTATTCTAAATGACATTTCAAACTTCAGAATTCTCAGAAAGTCGACCGGTTAGATGGTGCACATGCCCCAGAGTTGACCAAAAAAGTCCAGCGACACGTGTCTAGCGGATCCTTTCCTCCTAGTACTCATGAGCATCTTAAAGAAGATCTCAATCTTCGCCTGAAAAAGTTGACTCATGCTGCCCCCTGCATGCTGTTCATGAAGGGAACACCTCAAGAACCACGCTGTGGTAAGAAGCTAATCCTGATGATGGGAACAGAATGTCCTTGCCTGAGTGGGTGTCGTGGATATGTGTGGAATTAGACGTGTGTTACTCATGCCCGTGTCATCATACAAGTCAGTGGTAGCTATCAGTGTTTACTATATACTTGGAGGACATGGGGGCCGGAGAGGAGATCTTTGGATATCACCAGGTTCAGACTTTTTGTGTTTTATATTTGAGTTCTCAGCTATGAAGGTTGCTCATCTAGAGGCAGAGCTGGCAGGGATTAGGTTCCAGCTTTATCTGTCATGTTGCTATCTCTGACCTGTGTAATGTTTTTTTTAAAAATTTGTGTGAGAGAGAGGACATGCATATGCGTGTGTCTGTGTGTCTTTGCGTATGAGCATAGCATGTAAGCAAAGAAGCCAGAAGAGGGCATTGTTTTCTTTAGAGCTGTAGATAGAGGTGATTGTGAGCTACCCAACATAGGTGCTGAGACTGAAACTTGGCTCTTCTGCAAGGACAACGAGTACTCTTAACCTGGGTCGATGCTCCAGCCCTTTAAGATAATTATCTATTTATCTGTGTGAATGTAGATGCATGCTAGAGGAGGGCATTGGGTGTTCTTTGTCAGTTTCCACCTGTTCCTTTGAGGCAAAGTGTCTGGAACCTGCCAGGCTGGCAAGTTCTAGACATAGTCCTGTCTCTATCCTTTAGGAGCTGGAGCCACAGTTGTTTACTGGACACTTGGCTTGTACGTACATGCTGGGATTCACCTCCAGTCCTGGTGCCTGTGCAGCAGGCATCCTCAGCTCCTGAGCATCTCTGGTCTATGCAGTTTTTCTCTGAATGGTTTTCTTTCTTGGCAGCCTCCTCATCTTTTTGTTCAGATTTAGTAATTTGAAAATTTGAGGGCTTTCATTAGTGCCTGGGCCTGCCCTGTGTCTTCTTGCTTTCCTTCTTGTGCTTCCGTGATGGCATTTTTTACCCACTGCTGTCACTTCTGGTTGATAGCTGTTAGTAGATTAAAGATCACTGAGTCTTGGCTTACAGGCACATGTACTTTCTGTACATGAGGATGCTGGTAATTTTACCCTTAAATAAGTTTTGTAATTATTTGACCCCTCTGGTATTGAGTTTATGTTGTTTTCTTTTTACTGTGCCTACGACATTATTATGCTGCATAATTGAGTTTTTAATGCCTTTTGATGATTCTGTTGAGACTAAGGATATGTGTTTCAACTGCACTGGAGGGGATTTATCAAGATAGGTGGTAGTAAAGTTGGATATGCTCTTGATAGGATTACTGAGTGTCCAGTGTGACCAGAAAGAGCCATGCTGCCTTTCTGAGTATGTTCAAGTTAAAGTCTTCCTCTGTGGTCAGGAGGCAGTCTACTTCTAACAGTAAAACATCGTGCTAAGTTTTATTAAAAAGATGAAGAAGTGATTCCTTTCTCTTAGTTTTGCCTGAAAGATTTCCCAGTGAAGCAATGACATGAAACAGGCAGTCTTCACAGTGCTTTCTTATTACTTTATTTTTAATGGAGTTTGGAACTGTTGCCCTCTCTGGTGCTTAATGTAGTCTAGTTAAGGACTTACCTTCATTCTAGTTGGAAGGACAGTAAAAAGGCCTGTAAAATGTGTGCAAACCTGTATGACAGTCTATACATAGCAAACTCAGAGTCAATCCAACCTAACTGTAGCACTCTTTTAATCTTTTCTAATAACCTAGTGAAATTGGCAGGAGGCAAAATTGTCTGGGAAGGTGTTACCAGGCAGCAGGGAAGGGGGCTTGTGTCATTTACTGTGCTTCAGCCCTGCTCAGGAACTGGGTACAAGTCAGCTGCTCTGCAGTGGGCTGGCATGGGTGGGGGTTGGTCTTGGAAGGCCTTTCAGTCCAGGGGCTAATTGTTTAAATGTATTACTGACAAACATAGAAATAGTCATTTTAGGGGGCTGGAGAGATGGCTTGGCGGTTAAGAGCACTGACTGCTCTTCCAGAGGACCCAGGTTCGATTCCCAGCACCCACATGGCAGCTCACAACTGTCTGTAACTCCACTTTCAGGGGATCTGACACCTTCACACCAATGCACATAAAATAAAGTTAAATAAATCATAAAAAAATTCTTAAAAAAGAAAGTCATTTAAAAAAATTAACTTTTATGTTAGCATCCATTAGACTGTAGTATCTTTTCCCTTCCTATATTATCTCAAGCTCCTTCCAGTTCCAACTGGTTCTCCTTCCTTTGTTAGTTCCTTGCTGCTTTCACAGTGCCTGTACTTCATCTGTTTCTTTCCCACCCACTTAGAGCTCCTCCTTAGCTCCCTCCATTCCCAGTATTGTGGCATTCCCCATGTGCACACAGATGTGCGTACAAATGTACACATCAGATTTTAAATATAGTTTCTGCAGACAAGGGAAAATGTGTGTTACTTGTCTTTCTGAATTTTGCTTATCTAGAAATAGTCTTTATTTCACTAAATCGAATTTATGACACAGTTCTTGAGTTTTTTATGTTGCGGCATTCAGAGTACAAATAGAATAAAAAGAAAATTTAAATATTTTAGAGCAATCTGAAAACAAGATTTTATAGACATTTAGATAACGAAAGAAAAAAAGTGAAGAGATTGCTTGATGCATAAGATTTTAAGCTGTTGTTTCTTCTGTTTGGATGCCATGTTTGTAACTTTTCTGACAATTCTAGTAGGTATCTCTTTTCTGATATTTTGGTTTCTTGTTATATGTCCTCTTTCTTAGCATAGCATATAGAGCAAACGGATTGTTGGAAGGTACTTAATAAAGTGTCCATGTCAGGTCAGCTGGAAAGCCTTTGTGTGGGGACTGCCTGGCCACCTCCTCTGTCTTTTGTGCTCAGTGCTGTGCACTATCTTCAACTTTCATCTTTGTCTTTGGGAAACATAAGTGGCTTCACTTCTAGTCTTGTTTTCTGAGCCTGCTTAGTGTAGAACTGTTTGTACTCCACATTGACAGTCCAGTGAAGAGTGTAGGCTAGTCCCTTCATGAAAACATCGTTATTTCTGTGAGCTCAAGAGGTTCCTCTTATCTAGCAGAGTTACTGTTTAGAGCACTCTGCTGTTAACACTGCTTTGCTCCTGGTTGTGGAGAAGAGCTACCCTTGTATTTGGATTGGTGGCTCTGGCCATGCTTTTGTTACCCAGAAAAACTTGAATAACATTTACACTGTATACCCAGGAAAGAGGGAAAGCTGTGTCCAGAGCCTGTTTGTCCTATAACCAGTATAGGCCACAGCTCCACTTTCTGCTGTACTTGTAGGCTCTGTCTGCACAATTAATGGTGATTTAAAAGCTGGTGTTGATAGGGTCTCAGAGCACAGACCTGAGTTTCCTCTCTTCTGGTGTCTCGTGAGAGCTCGCTTACCTTTAAGGAAGTTTCTTGAAGCACCGAGGTCCTTCAGTGGGGAAATGAGGTTATTGGGGGACTCTTATAGCTGTTACAGTTAAAGCTGGTAGGTGTTTGGCTTTGGGAGCTTCAACAGTAAGAGTCAGATGAAGGCACCAGTGCAGAAACACTCTTCCGGTCTGTTTTAGGTAGTTATTAAATGTGGCAGTTAGGCTTATTACTCATGTCACGAGTGGAAATGACTGCAGATAGAAATGGTGATTTTGTGGTAAATGAGATTTTTTTTTTAACTTTTAAGTGCTTCTATTGCATGCATGCATTTTTCTTCAGGAGTGTATAAATATTTTGTTATTAGAATAAAGCCTTATTACTACTTTATCCTTAAGCATAACATTTCCAATCTGCCACTTTAACCCTTAAAAATGAAATCCTACCAATCAATCTTTCTAGTCTGCATGTAATTGCCTAAAGCCAAAATAAAGCCTTTTCTCAGCCAGTTACAGTAGAAACGAGCTAATATATTGGGAACAGAATAACCATCAGCAGTCAGCCGTTAGCTGTTTACTAATGAACTCCCAGATGAGTGAAAACATTCAGAAACGGTGTTTGACTTCAGGCTGTGCATGAACACCACACTTGAGTTGTAGGAAAAGCAGCTTATGTGCTACACACTCATCTAGTACTTCCTCTCAAGAACTGCAGAGCCAGGAAACATCTGGGGCTCAGCTGTAGATCCATGTTTTTAATAGTAAGTGCACTTTTGGGTGATGTCAGATAAAGCCAATGCAGTTAATCTTATGCTGGATTTTATGATTTGATTTTATTTGAAAATAAAAGCACTTTTGGGTGATGTCAGATAAAACCATTGCAGTTAATCTTATGCGGGATTTATGATTTGATTTTGTTTGAAAATATTTGCTGATGTGAGGAAATCCTAGAGGGATTTTTAATTGGAAGAAGAGATTATGTTCCATTGAATGAAAGAGTATGTTTCGAAGAGTGGTGCGGTGAGAAAGAGGAAGGTGCTTCAGAGTTGGAGACGTTACTGGTGAGAGGTACCGGCTGGAAGAAAAGTAACCATTTTTCAGCTTGGACTGATAGGTTCTTAAGACTGATGCTCATGCCCTTTCTTCAGGTTGTTAAGACTTAATGCTTATACTCCTTCATTGTGAACACTTTACCAAAGTCTAATAAACTCTGGGGACATAAATTTGTCACTATAGTGTAGAAAAAAGTCATTATAGTACACGCTGTAGGGAATGTAAATAATTATAGGAAAACATTTATCAGGTTATAACACAAGCTGAGAAGGAATGGTGCCAATCTACAGATAGTTCATATGTACCAACAAAGATGACTTTACCGTTTACTGTACGGTGCCCACTTCAGACCCAAAGAGAGCACTTGTGATACCCATCATCCTGCTCAGAGGTGAAGATGAGAAGCACCCACAGAAGTGTGTGTTTGGGCTCACGAGAGGGTAGTGAGGACTACACTTGGGTCTCATTGTGGTCAAGCAGTGGTTAAAATAGCTGTCCTAGGTGTCCTGGTCAGTCCCTTAATGGAGAGGGAGGCGGCCATAGAGGACTTTGTTCCGTGTCAGGTTCTGTTCTTCTGCTGGTGCTGTGTCTCAGTGAAAGAGCAGCTTTTCACTGCAGTTGTGCTAATGTTTATGTTAAATTCTCACTGTGTGAGGCTCTAGGTCAAATGAGGGGTTTTAGCATTTATTTTTCTCTTAACTTATCCAGTTATGCTGATCCAATCACTGTGCAGGCGAGATGGGCATTTATGTCCCCTGGACACCTTGGTATGTGAGAGATGCTGAATTCTCTGATTTCCTTGTTCTGTTGCAGGTTTCAGCAAGCAGATGGTGGAAATCCTTCACAAACACAATATCCAGTTCAGCAGTTTTGATATCTTCTCAGACGAGGAAGTTCGACAGGGGCTCAAAACATACTCTAATTGGCCCACCTATCCTCAGCTCTATGTTTCTGGAGAGCTCATAGGAGGACTTGACATAATTAAGGTTAGATTCGTTGTAAAGACATCTTGTGTAGAGCACACTTTTCTAAAGTGTTCGTAATAAATTGAGCACATGTATTTCTTATTGCACCTAAGGATTTACTAATGACAGCACAGTTTTTCTGATAGGCATTTGTCAGTATTCTACATTGGGGGTGGTCAATGTTCTAATAATGTCCTCCTTTCAGGAACTGGAAGCATCAGAAGAGCTAGATACAATTTGTCCCAAAGCTCCCAAGTTAGAGGAGAGGTAAGTACTAGAAAGCTGGCAGCAGTGTGCCCTGAGTCTGTAAATCCTGTTATTGCATTGTTCTTTTGGAGTTGACACCAAGCATTTGGTGGTTGTTTCTCAGCGCCTAGTCTTGGAAACTCGGGATGCTCTGATTTGGACTGGAAATGTTTTACCTCAGTTTATTGACTATGAAGAATATATTTGCTATTGCAGAAATGTCACTTTTAGTGGGTCCAGGGCCCTATTTTGTTCCTTTTTTTTTTTTTGTGTGTGTGTGTGTGTAAGCATAGCACCCCTGTGTGTTTTTGTGTACAGCTGAAGTGCCATGTTCTATCCTTGAGTGTGGTAAGCGTTGAATGGGAAAAGCTAAGATTCAGAGTGGTTTCTCTAAGCCACAGTAACAAAACTCAGGGAGCCTCTGGAGCTGTGAAACCATCTTTCTTTTTATGAGGGATCACAGTCTGCTCCTGAAGTTTTGTAGAAATGTTGCATTTTGATAGGGAGGGACTCGTGAAGGGACCTGTCTGTAATAAACGTGAATTTATTAATTCAAATTTTTATATTAATAATTAGTTAAAAGGAATTATCTTGAAATGCATTAGCCCATCACTGTTAGTTGGGGCATGAGTTTATAAATTTCTTGCTATTTTAAATTTTGAAAATTTCAACAAATATTTAATAAAAAACTATCATCTATACTTAATTCAGGTGCTCTTTAGGAACAGTATTCCATGTATGTCCTGCTGGCCCAGCCACTGGTATGAGATGAGATGGTAGTGTTTGTGGATACCACATGGGCCCCTTTTGTGGTCTTATTGTGGCCCATGTTGTCCTTGCCCTGAGGCTATTCTGCTCCCAGAGTAGGGCTCTCATTTCATATCCCTGGATTGGCTGGACACTGTGCTTTTCTCTCTGGCCTATTCTTGCTGTTGTTACCTTGGCTTCATCAGATCTTTCCTAAAGTACTGCTTCTAACTCTCCTGATGTTTCAGGCACACTCAGATGCTGGCTACGGCAGGAGAGAAAGCAGTGTGTGATATATTTGAAGGGCTCCTATCTAGCAGAATGACATGTATTCTGACAGAAACTTGTGGTGCATGAACTGAGGTGGTTAGATTATTTGCTGAGTTGGCTGGGGTAGGTTTCTCCTGTTGAGGACCTGGAAGTGTGTCATGATCTGTGTGATCTGTTCACTTGACTGGCCTCAGTTTTATTCTACAAGGAAATTTTAGTCCATGGTGCTTCCACAGCATGAGAGGAGTGAAGAAAAAAATGATGTGATCCCTTGTCCCTACACCAATTTTCCCTAAAGACTTGTGACTAAACTTTGTTCCAAATGTGGGTAGTTAACATTCCTGACAGCAAGTTTGAGCATGGTTTTTTGTAGATGGCATGGAAGGCATGAAGTGTCAGGTTAGGATGAGAACTGTGATTTTTCAGCAGTTAGTGATAGCTGGAGGGTTGAGATTTGGCTTCTTACCTTTGTGGCCGGCAGCCCTGCTCTGGGATGAGGAGCGTTATGCAGCATTGTGATGGGAAAATGCTCACTGATCCATCTTGGAAACTTCAGATGGCTCAATATATAGCCCCCCCCTTGAGTAATTCCTTACTGAATTGGTTATTATTATTTTTTTAGTACTACAAGTTGATGGGCTTAAATTGCAACTTGAAGGAACATTCGTTGCCTTAAAAAGCCATATTATGTTTTACAGTGGCTCAGGGAGAGAATGAAATAAAGGAAAGTGTCAGTGCTTTTGCTTGTTTAATACCACTCAAAGCTGTGAGCTGTCATCCTGCTATCCCTCAAATATGCCTGCTACTTATGAAGCCGAGCAGAAGTGGTGTTTAATAATTGAGCTGAGCCATTTTATATCAATTTTCTCTCTTCAGGCTCAAAGTGCTGACCAATAAAGCTTCTGTGATGCTCTTTATGAAAGGAAACAAACAGGTAAGGAACTCAAAAATGGTTTTATTTGTAATTTCTTTTGATGTTAACATTTGCAGCAAGGGGACAGTTAAGTGTTTTTTTCTAGTTTAGCTAATGAAGCTGTAGTGGTTTCAGGAAGTTATCTGGGCCTTAATTGGTGCTTATGGAGATCAAACAGAGTAATCTCCATTTCACTTGACTTTATCATCAGCGTCTCAGCAGGGTGCATTGCTTTCTGCTGCCAAACTTTGTCAGCTGAAGTGGTCAACACTGTGAGCACATAGCTGATTCTCTCAATTGCTGTCCCAGTCCCCTTTGTTTGAGAGCGTGGACTGTGGGCAGATGTGCTTCTCTGGTAGTCCTGAGGCTTAGGTCCTTAGAGTAGGAACCAAACCCTGACAGTGGTCCTTGCGCTCTGTGGTATCTGGTTGATGAGTAAAACTACCACAATTCTCACTCATAATACGATGGTTCTTGTACTTTGATGAAAGTACATACTGAATTTTCATTAGTTTGATAAGTCCCCTTGCACTCATTAGTTGGCGAAAAGCTGGCTCTCTTCTGGATTGGGATTAGATTGGTAATTTTGAAAAGCTAGCCCTGCCATTTCTCTTGCATTTTACAGTTTTAACAGTTGAGTTTCAGCTCTTTAGCTTCAAGCAGGCAAAGCTATACAGTTTGTTTTCCTTTCAGGATAAGGAGACTAAAGCTCAGAAGGGTGAGGTGGTAGACTGAGGAAGCTGCCCTTGGTTGTGGGTGAGCCACCTGGGGCAGGTGATGCCACAGAGCTCTTTGCCTTCCTTTGCCTTTTTGTGAGCGGACCTAATGATGTTATAGGACAGGTTGCTCTAAGGGTTGCTGTGGCACCAACACTGTGAAGCCGATTAGTTAAAACAAGTACTAGTTAATATAACTAGTGTGATGGAAGTAATATGGAGGACAATAAACAGGTACTAGTTAATGTAACTAGTATGATGGAAGAAATACAGAGTACAATATAAACAACTACTAGTTAATGTAACTAGTGTGATGGAAGTAATACGGAGGACAATATAATTTTAGCACATTGGTACCACTGCGTTAGGACATAGACCCTGTGACTGGAAAGTACACACTTAATAAAAATAAACATGATGTTAATAACTTGTAGTGATGATGAAGCGGCACTCTCGCTCCATTATTTTGAAAGCCGACTTTCATTTTCTACATTTCTTGTGCTGTCCAAGGAGAATTTACATTTCTTGGAAATGGTGTCCTGGGAGCTTTTAAGATGTTGTGTATTGCCAGGCTTCTTTCCCAAGACAGCTGGGGCTCGGGCAATCTGTGGCCTGAAATACATCATAGGATCTCAATCACTTCAAATGAGTTGATGCCACAACGCAAAGATAAGTTTAAAAGGTGTGACTGAAGGTTCCTGGGGTGTGAAAACAATCATTTTAGTTCTTGTTACTTGCTTAACTATGTCCTATCACTTTGCTGATAGATGATCTGGGTTTGACATTTTTAAGCTGTTACATGTTCCACATCTTAGAAGTTAAAGCCAGAATCAGTCTAATCTGTAGGTTGTTTGGGATGATATCAAAGGGAACGGAAGAAGCATGGGAGCTGGGTAAGCACAGTGGCTGGGGTGCTGGCTTGAGCATTTCACTGCAGCTACACTTACTCGGTCTGTGAAAAACAATGCACAATGTACTTTTCTTTATATATATAATTTAGGAAGCAAAATGTGGATTCAGCAAACAAATTCTGGAAATACTGAATAGTACTGGGTATGTAAATCTTATTTTCAAATAGTATACATAAAAAAATTTCAGCTTTTCAGTTCCACAACTGATACTTTGCAGTCCTAATGTCAAAACCTATTTGCATAGTATTTATTTATTGACATATATTGTCTACTTTTTTTTATAGTTTTCTTTTTTAAAATTAACTTAGACCAAAATGGAATTTTTTGGCCCTTGTTCTCACCATGCATAAAGACATACAGGGAGATATTCATAGATTCTTAATGTTATTTAGAAGCCTTTGTTTTCAGGGCTGAAGAGTTGGCTCAGTGATTATGTGTCTATTGCTTTTGAAGAAGATAGGAGTTGGGTTTCCAGCGTTTAAACCAGGCATCTCACAGCTGCCTATAATAACTCAGGTCCTGGGAGATATGAGGCCTCTGGTCTCCTTTGTCTGGAATAGGGTGAGCTGTTTAAGTCTTTGCTCCTGTGGTGGGGCTCCTGGGATGGCTGCCAGGTGGAGATTTCCCAATGATTTTTGTGGTTAAAACCAACCCATCTATGTGGAGATATTTAGCGCATGTTCTTTTGGAGTTTTCAGATGTTTTATTTTCCATTTCATGATTGCTTCTTTTCAAATTGCAGTATATATTCTGGTCATCCTTTGAGTAGATAACCTGTTTTCTGAAGTTGCAGATCTGGAGCAGGATTGAAAGCAGTTAAGCAACACAGTCTGAATATAATCTTTAAAACAAAATGGCTCTTGTTTCTTAAGAAACACCGGGGGCAAGCAAGGTGGCTTAGAGGGTAAAGGTGCTTGTCCCTATGACTGATGACCTGAACTTGATCCCTGGGACCTGAGTAGTAGAGGGAGAGAACTGACGCCTGCAAGTCGTCCTCTGACCTCCACGCAAGTGCCTTGGCCTTCCACTCTTCCCATAAGAGAATTTTGTCCATCAAAGACTAATAATTTTGTCTTAGCACGACAAGCCCAATGATAGTCATTCATGTTGCTTTAAGTTTTGTTTTCAGGAAATGCTTTTCTTGACCATATTAAAAATACTAGGTAGGCTTTATGTCTTTTGTTTAAAATGAATACCTGTTAAAAACCTTCCTCCCTTTTTCAGGGTTGAATATGAAACTTTCGATATACTGGAGGATGAAGAAGTGAGTTCTGGGTTCTCTGTTTCCTTCCGTGTTTTACCTTCAGTCACAGGGTCTGGTGGAAAGACTTACTTCAGGATTCCTATTGTTTCTCTAGGTGCGGCAGGGATTAAAAACATTCTCAAACTGGCCAACCTACCCTCAGCTGTATGTGAGAGGGGAGCTTGTTGGAGGATTGGATATTGTTAAGGTAAATGCTTTTCATTGCATTCTCAAAAACTGAAAAATGTAGTGTTTAAGCATCCAACCTTAGTGTTGTCTGACTCCTCTTTTCTCCAATCTCATATTCACCATCCTCTGTGTATGTATCTGAGTGTCTCATGCTCACCCCTGCTCTGAGCTGTTGTCAGATCCTTCAGATCGTGCCGGTGAGAGCTAGACTCTGTAGCTGAGAGTCCAGATGAGCTCAGGACCCTGCCGTGCTAACTGTACCACAGCTTTCTTCCCTATTTTCTTGTCTGTTAACCATCTTTACCTGCTTCCCCAACTTGAGATTTTCTTCCATAATTCTTTTCTTCCTCCATCCTCCAGGGTCCAACTTCCTTGTAAATGTGTACATTTTTCCTGCCAGAAACATCTCTGTCCCAAAATTCTTACACTCCTTCATTTTTTGTTATTGTAATTGTTTCTCTGGGCCATTTTCCTTTTTCCTTAATCTACCAAAGATCCAAGAGTGAGGATGAGGACTAGGAGGCTTGAGGCAAGAGTCTCTTTGCTCCCATGCCATAGGTACAGGTCACTTTTGCCAAGTGACAGGCCTCTGTTCGCTATTAGAGTGTAATTCTGTTTAAGGCAGGCACGGTGTTTTACATACTTCTTATTTTGCTGTTGAGACAAGGCCTCAATCTGTAGTCTAGGCTAAGCTTCTTCTGTAGACCAGGCTGACCTTGTAGCAGTCTTTGTATGTGTCTCTGTCTTCCTAGTTCTGGGGTTGCAGCCACCACAGCTGGCCTTATATCCCTGCAAATCCTTCCTGATGCTCTGTGTATCTTAGGAACTCGGTAAATGGTTATTAGACAGTTAAAAATTTTGTTTCTCGTGTCTTTTAAATGGACTTATCATTTTTTGTGTTAGTAGGTGGCCGCATCTACTAGTAACTGCACTTATTAGCTGTGTGGGTTAATGTAAACATAGAAAGAAAAGTTGCAGCTTTGTTAACCCCATCCCACCCTACTGCCTTGGCTAGCATGTTAAGGAGGGGACATGTATGACTTAGCTGACAGTGGGGGCAGCTTCTCCTCAAGGACTAAGACTGCCCTTAGGCCTTCTGATTGTTTGGGAGGTAATTTCAAGTAAAAAAACAATTTTTTAAAATAGTTGAATATTATAAAATAAAAGCTTTAAAAATAGGCTTCCACAGAGTGAAGAAACTCAGTATCTGGACCAGCCAACATATCTGTGGAATTAGAGCTTGAAGCAGCTGCAGGGCTGCTCTGTCTTTCTGGTTCAGGTTTGCTTTGTTTCCTGCCAACTGCAGAGTTTGATGGCCCTTTGAAAATAAGGGAGGGAAAAAGGAAAAGTAGGCAGGGATGCAGTTTTCCTAATAAATAGTCTCATTCTTGGAGGAAAAGAAATCACTGTAGCTTTTGAGTAGCCTTGAAACAGCAAGGTAAGTGTGCATTTATTGCTTTAATATCTAGGTGCATATCTTAGCAAGATACAAACTGTCTTTAGATCCCAGGTGCTTTTGAGCTTGTTCTTATCTGAATGTTTCACAGCCCATGCCTTAGCCATGGGGCTTGGGAGACCAGGAATTAGTTTTAAACTTCTGGTACACTTATGACGCAGAATGTGTATATTGGCAAGTTGATGCTGCCTCTCCTGTTTTTGTTTTGTTTTTTTCCTTGAAGGTTTGTGGAGCTGTCGCTTTGTTTCCCACAGAGTGCAGTTTTCCATCTGTTTGTTAGTACATTCTGCATGGTAATTCTGATTAGCCTCTCTTAGAGCTTTGATACTTTTTGTTGACCGAGTCAGTAACTCAGTGACTTGTCCAGTCTGGCGGCCTGGAAAGGGCTGCTGTTGACAGGCACTGATGAACTGAGGAATGCTTGAACTTGGAGCCCTGGGTTAAGTGATTTAAAATGCCTAGCGAAGATGTCTGAGTTGTGTGCTCAGATGATAGCGGAGCTCTTCAGTGTAGGTTCAGAGGGAAAGAGTCTTATTGTTATTAGGTAGAGTTGCTGTGCTTCTCACCAGAGCGTAGGTTTAAACCTGGAGATCAGAAAATGGACTGTGGTGTGGCAGTATTAGCTTGTGTTCAGGGAAGAGAGACTCTCAGAAGACTGGATGCTACTGGAGGCTACCTGATCTGTTCCATGCCTGAACTATGGCTAGCTCTTCTCAGTGGTTTTGTGTTCACTAATCTATTGGTTTAGAACACCCTTTTAACTTTGTAACCTGAGATTGTTTGCCAGTCCTCCCATCTGTGGGTTCTAGATGTGGATGTGGAAAGTCAACCACTAAAGAACACACACACACACACACACACACACACACACACACACACACACACA